TGTATTACACCTTATTCAAAATCAATGTGGTCCCACGGCCCTCTGTGGCCCAAAGTTAAAAACTGTTGTTCTTTTGAGGCCCTCAAGGTGGCACTCACGGCCAAATGCCCATAGGTTAAGAATCTCTGTTTTACATGACTTACAACAGTATGGATTTAGTGTTTGCGTGCGTGCGTGTGTCTGAGTGGCCTCTGCAATCACAACCCATTTCCTACTGAAAATATTGAGTCCCAAACAAAACCACTGTCTGATGAGCAGCCCAGGTCCTGTATTCAGCAAAAACAGACAAAGACAGAACAACGAGTTGTTTTAAACAACAAATATTTAAAACATAGTGTTGAAGGGAAAACATACAGCACACTAGAGAATACTGTAAGGTTCTAATTAGAGATGCACTGATATAAACATTTCAGCTGATATCAGTATCTGATATTATTACTGTTGTTATGGCTGATAACCTACATTCATCAAAATTACACAAACACTAATTATTCAAGGCCCTGTCGCACTACAACGTTTTACACAACATATGAATTAAGATGGAATCAAGAAATTCAACTGGAAGCCTCTTTTAGATGTCTACATACTGTAATGCTAACAAACTGATCAAATAGACAACTTTTATTAATCATTTAGACATGTGACAAGGTCATTATATATTTATACAAACAAACACATTGTCTTTTTTTCTACACCGTAAAAAAACAAGCAGATGTCTGACACAGCTTTCCTTCAGTTGTTCCTGCTGTGCAGCGTCACTAACACCATCATGACCAGCTGTTTCTCAATTCATGGGCTGCAGCCGACGTCTGCAGCATTTGTCGTTTGCATTACTACCACGTGACGTAGGTTGTCACAATTTGTCGGCGCGTACACACGCAGCTGACAAAACCCTGAAACTGTCGGCTGCACCTGAGTATCCTACACAGCCGTCGGTATCCCAGAATTCATTGTACCATCAGCAAATTAAACAGAAAAAGTTTATTTTTCTTTTTATGATAGTTTTGTTTTTTTAAATGTTAAATGGTTTAGTGACAACTTAGCTGAAGAAACTTTTGTTGCAATGAGATGTTAAATAAAATGCTGTTAAAACGACTGATACTGGAACTAAACCCATTTTATTAATGCTTTTTACTTATTTACTTGTAACTTTTTTTTACTAAAACTTAATTTTATGAAGTTATACCTTGAAAAAACAAGTGAAGTGATGTGATATAAAACATATGACCATGGTAACGAGGCAGAGCGTGGTCACACAAACATGTGTCTTATGTAATCTGGACCGTCTCATTTCACAGCCGTTTATGCAGCCGACATGAGCGGCCTGCGTCGGCTGCAACCCATGAATACAGCCAATGTGGGACGTTAGAATGGGCCCAGTTTTACATGTCGAGCAAACCAATGTTAATGCAGATATATCTTATGTTAGGGCTGGGCCATTATTTGATTGTGATCAATGATGGAGAAAAACTCAGGTGGATCATGGTGATCAACTGTGAGCCTCTTCCTCAATCAAACATGGTGGAAATGTGACAACAGCCAATCAGAATCCACCTCCTCCTGCTCCACTTCTAGTTGTTAATGAAACGCAGACGGAAACACAGAATTAACCAAAGTAATCCAGTATAAAACACTGAATCTCACAGAGTTCACTGAGTTTCTGAGGTATTTTGACCTCTGTCGGGGGGTCGGGTGTTTGAGCGAGTCACTAAAAAAAGTCCTCCAAAAATATTAAGCGGTGTTAGGGTAACGTTTAGGACAAAACAATGTCCCAGTGGCTCTTCATTTATCTGGAGACGAACTTTTCTGTTCGTTTTATCGGCACATGATGGGCTGGACGAGACGTGAAGACCACTTCCTGTCTGAGTCTCATCAAACAGCAGCTGAGACACGCTGCAAACTCCTGAACGCTCAGAAGATGGAGTTTATCCAACATGTTGTCGTGTGCACAATCAGATATTGTTTCAGAAAACATGAAACAGTGTYTGTTGTTTGATRAAGCTCTGTAAACAGGAGGGGGGTCCTTCCACAACAAAAAYAATGAGCTTAGGTCCTGTTCAAAGTGTGCACAAATYACTGCTGTTTGAAGGGTTTATGTCTCTATGGCATACTTTATGTGAAACTCATTCCTAAAACTTTAAATACCGTTTTAAATAATTAGCAAAAATAATTTCATGTTCTACTGAACCACAGCTATTTATTTTAGTGAGAGTGAAATAACAGCCTTTTTTCTGTAGCTATTTATTTGTTAAATCATTTTTAGTCACTTTTTAGGTTAAAAAAATCATGATATTAATTGTGATTGGACGATATGAAAAAATTAATTATGATCTTTTTTTTTTTGCCTTATCACCCAGCCCTATCTTACATCCCTAGTTCCAGTCATTTTAAAGTGATTACAACTTTCCACTCAGTTTTTAAACGTCATTAAATATTTGAACGTCTTTTCTATCTAAAAACAGACCTGTTGATTAAAACACTGATAATTTAATGGAGGTTTTATTTTACCAGCTCAGTCTTTCATAGAAAACATTTGTCCTTTATTTCATGCCCTGCCTTTCTGACTTTCTTTTCATCTTCTGACATGATGTGGATGTTTTACTGCGTTATCCTGAATCTTAAACCTGAATAATACACAGTTTTTTCTAAATACAGGAGCAGTGTGGGTGAAGAATCATTCTGTCTGCACTTGTGTCTGCTAAACAACAGATTAACATATTTAAGCTTAAGTTAAATATGTTCATAATATTCATGAAGAAATGATGAAAAGCCCACTTGTGACCTCCCTGCAGAGAGCTGACATATCTCTGGCCTTAGCTCTGAATGCTGGCTCTGATGTGTTGTCCTGTCGCTGCTTCACACACCTTGATGCCTGCGTTACGGAGGATCTCCAGGGTGGGTCTGACGTCGGTCTGGAGCTGGTCCTCCACCCCCGTCAGGCACAGCAGCTCCATCTCCATCTCCAGGCTCTCGATGACCGTGGCCACCTTCAGGGAGCGGTCATGGACGCTCAGCTTGGCCTGGACGTATCGAGCCTGGGCAGCAGTGCAGAAATGGAAACATTAAGCGTGGGAGAACTGGAAAGGAGAATAAATAATGTTTATTCACTGGAGAACCAGCRAGGAAAGGATGAAGAGCTTTTTAATCTGCCCAGCAGCTGTGACAGTCGTGACAAATGGGATAAAACAGATTAAAAACACATAAACAAGATTAAACAGGCATTAGTTTCTGGTCGTAAATGTGCTGTGGATTCTTTAGAATATCATTCAGTTAAAGTTAATACACATTTCAGGAGTGGTTTCACCCAGTTGTGTGAGCTGCTGTGCAACAAAGCTGCACACACAATCAATTGGTCAACGCCCATTTTTAGAGCTGCAGCCCCAGGACAAGAAGCAAGTGAGATAAAGAGAAAACAATGTGTGTGAGTCATCCAGAGACACACACTGTGTGAGTCACATGTGTGACTCAGAGCTGCCCACCAGCTCTGCTCTGTCACACACTGCAGAAACTAGCCTCAGGCTGAATGCTGCAGGGGACACCCTGTGTGTGGCCAGGTAGGCCCTGTGTGGGGACATCCTTACTTCTGGGAGCCAACCCATACTTATGGGGACCGAAGCCTGGTTCCCATAGAGGGAAATGCCATTGTTGGGTCAGGGGTCAGGCTGTAGAAATGAATGGAAGTCAATGCCATGTCCCCATAAAGATAGCTGGACTAGAATGTGTGCATGCGTGTGCGTGTGTGCGTGTATGTGTGTGTGTGTGTGTGTGTGTGTGTGT